ATCTCATCTGGCAGAGATTTCCAAATCTGCTTTTCCTCAAAGAAGAAGTTATGTTTTTATTGTGCTATTGGTTAGCTTGTTGTATTATCCCAGTGGAAAAATGAGGTAAAGGGATCAGAACAACACAAAATGCTCATGAGCTCCTAGGTTACTGTGAGCTTTCTGTATGGTTGGTCTTCATCAAGCCATAGGTTGTTATCATGTGGTTTACTATGCCACAAAATATGTTACATCTTTTAGGCTGAGATGGACATAGAGCCTGTACACTGCTTTGAAGCTCCTGTTGGGTAGCAGCAGGGGTCATAAGCAATCCAAAAATTATTTTTACATTGCCAAGGATTGAAAATGGATGTAAGGCCCATATGTATTAAGCTTCCTAAGGATGTTAAGATGATCAAATAGATAGGTGGGTAAAGCTTTGGGACAAAATTTTGGAAAGACAAGCATAGTGGAAAGAAATATGGAGACTGAGAACCCACTTGGTCTTGTCAGCTGCTGAAAACATTGTATTATCATGGTTTAGACAGTTTGCACCAGGAGGGTGCCCTGGCCCACGCTGCTCCCCACTCCATTATGGAACAAGAAAAGCTTCTCATCTGAGCAAGCAAAGACTGCCTGAAAATGGGATCCATTTTCCTCAGTGTTGTGACACTGTTGTACCACACATCCTCTGTTACTGTTGTGGAAACTGTAGAGGCAAATGATTAAATTACCTGCCAGGCACATGCTTGAGGGTAGGAACTTTTTCAGCTGGACTACTGTATTTGTTAAGCAAATAAGCTCAAGGGGATGGCTGAAGCTGTCAGTGCTAAAAGGTTTTATGGGTTGGTTAGTTGGGGTTTTTTTATCTTCTTTTGGGAAGAGGGGAGGGCTACATGGGGTTTATTTGGGTATTTTTGTTTTTGTTTTGTTTTACATTTGGTTTTTTTTTGGGGGGGGTGTTTGTTTTTGATGATACTGTGTCAGCAGTATGATTACCACCTTCAGCCTCCTGTGCAGCTCTGGCCATCTCTTTGCTCTGCTTGTCAGGGTGTTTGCATAGCAGCTGCAGAGTGGAGTTTGGTCAGGTCCCACAGTTCCCTCCCAACCGCTTTCATGGTTGTATTGAGGATCTGGAGCCACAGTTGCAAGGAGGAGCAAGCTAAGACATGAGGGTCAGCTGGAAATAAGGAAATGTCTGAAAATCAGGAAACAGCAGGAAGTGCTGAGGAGAGGCTAGAGGAAGGCAGGGAGAAGCCAGCAGCATGCAGTGCCATTTGGGGAGCAGCCCAGGATATTTGCCCTGAATGCAGATGAAACAGCAACCTCCTGCAGCAGGGAGCTGGCTCTGGTGTAAGAGCTCTTCAATGCATGCACAGTTAAAAATAAAAGGTGTTTGTATAGCGTTGGCTCTCCACTTGCTAACATGAAGACGAATGCAAATAGAAGCGTGAGCAGCAAGGGGGAGGTGGTTTAATGGCTTTGGGGATTAGCAGCAGTATTTAGAGCCTTTCACCTCTCTGTTCCTAACATAAATCTTAACACAGATTGATGGTTTTAGCCATCTGGCTTATGTTTACTTGTATGCAGTGACTAGTGAAACAGAGAAGGAACCTGACCAGCAAGTCAAAAGAATTTAAAAAAAGGTGTATACCAGAATAAGGCATCTTCTTCTCCAGTGTCAGTAAGAGCAGGTATGGTGCAATTATTCTGTTTCACAGAGCTCAGCAGGTAACAAGGGAGAGGGGAATGAACCAGTAACAGGCATCACTCAGTACATGACTCTGCCAGGGAGCCTGTGACTTACACAGATGTGTATGCTCTGAGGAACTTGTTCCCAAATGCAAAGCTCTGTGATCTTTAGAGGTACAGTTACCCCAGACATTGTGAGAGTTAGAGGACAAGTTGCAGTCACAGGTTGACTCTCAACTGTAAATTATTTTATGCTTCACTGGAAACTGTTCTCCCATATATCACCCATCTAATACCTTAATTTTATATACTATAGCTCCATTTATAAGCTGTAAAATTTTGTGCTCTCAACCATATAACATATTTTGGATTAGATGGCTTCCTTGTATCCTAAGCCTTCTAAATATTGATGCAAGTTTTCTTGGGGATGGGCTGGTCCTTGCAGGGAGTTGCTCTCAGTTTTCCTCTCACTCTCAGGTGCAAGATCTGACATTCCTTTTTCCAGCAAAGTCATCTTGGTAGAGCTTCCCACAATTCAGGACTTGAATGGGGAAGCCATGTGAAAGATCACCATTCTGCTTCTGCAGGCAAGAGAGTAACCAAGAGTGGGTACATGCATGCTCACACTCTAGCAAGTTTTCCTAGTCAATTATTTTGCAACAGCTCTTGATTAAGGGTGAGAGTTACAGAGGAACCTACCTCTGGTCTTTCAAATGGGGGAGTTTGGTCAAGAAATATTGATTATATGTCTTTAAGGAAACGTTTACTGGTGTCAAAGTTTCACTCTGTGGTTTTACTTAGTTTTGCTTTGGGATTGACTGTCTGTGGTGCATTTTTCAAATCAAAGCAAACCTCTAGAAGGCTTCCTCTAGATGAGTTAAAAAAAAAACCCAACAAAACATATAGGGAGCATTAAAGAAAAACCCATCCAAAACCTCTAGATATTACAAATACAATTTACAGCAGTCTTGGCACTGATTTTGCTTTATATGAGGCATGCAGAGCTTCAGTTAAAAGTTTTTTGCGCGCTCTTAATTCTTCAGGATCAGTAACAAAGAAATTCCTTGTAATATCATTCTTTTGGTGGGGAAGCAAATCAAGTTTCGTTATAGATTTCCAAAAACCTGGTTTTTATCTCAGATAATTGGTTTAGGCATAAAGAGTTCAGACAACTAAACATGGTGTTTATCACTTCAGACAGAGACCACTTTATATTTGACTGGGAAGCACTTCCACCAGATGCATTAATAGTGTGAGAGTAAGAATTACAGACACATGAAGTGACTGGGGAATGCTGTGTGCCAAAGAGAAAGTCAGAGTCAGGTCTAGATTGGGGCAGAATTTTCCAAGGCACCACAATGACCTAAAGGTCATGTCACCAAGTGGTTGGGAGCCAACTCCCATTTTCAGAACTGATATAAGGACTTCACTGCCCTTCAGTGAGATTTAGGATCCTTTTCCTACAGAAAAAAATACAACAACAAAAACCCCACAATCTTTAATTCACAATTGGTTCACAAAAGCAGTCTTTGCCTCTTCATAATTATAGTGCATAAATGACTTCACTACTTTTTAATAACATCAGATTTCTTGTCTGTGTCCATTATCACCAGCTTAGAAGCTATTCTGTTGCTTTGGGAATTTCATATTCCAAGTCACTTACAGAACTATAATTAAGAACTTCCATGGAAGACCAGGTGATGTGTGTTTGTTAAGATACTATATTCTGCTGATTTAATGTCAAGTCTTAGATTAATTTGAAATTTTATCATACTGGTTTCATTATAAACGCTTCCATGAAAAGAACATGCTATTGGAAAATGAATAATTAATAATCTCTATGTTAACCAAATGTTTCTTTAGTGGCTGGTGGGAAAATGTCAGGATGCCAGTTAAAAATCCTGGCTCTGTTGAAGTCAGTGGCAGAATTCCCATTGACTTTAACAAGGTTTTTAATTTTCTCAAAATTTTCTTGTCAAAGCTCCTTAAAGCTTCCGTGTATGAATTTAGATCTGTACAGTAGGGATCCAGGTGCCTTTTTGGTGTCCGAAAGGATTGATAGCAGAATAAGGACAAAGAAAGTAAAATGTGCAGTGACTTTTCAGTCCTGATCTTTTGGGCTAGGCTAAAGGGTATTTAAGAGAAACGTGACCGGTTGTCATTTAGTGGCTTCTGAAAGTGCTGTCACCCAGATCATGTCTGAATGAGTTGGAGGGGAGAGAAGAATGGATGCAGATCCATCTACTGTAGATTTACAAACATCCATGAAAATTCTCACGCTCATGATTTTAATGCTTGTAGCAAACTAATTCCTAGTGGAGACCTCTATTATTAACCAACTGTTCTGTTCTCATGCCACTAAAAGTTTCAGGCTTCAAATCCTGATGAAAGTAGAGCTTAATCCTCAGAGTATGTGACAACATTTGGATCTCAGCAGTTAGTAGTGTAAAGATCTGGCCATGTAAATTAGGACCTAAATATTACTGTTAGTTTCCATTACCATTGATGATAATGTTACAAAACTCCCTTGGGTTCAAATAGCGGTCATGTTATGCACATAGGCAAGCTTGAAAGATGTTAAGCTTTAGAGAAGAAATTGTCGGCTTGCTACAGAATTTGCACATGCTCAGATCCATTTAAAAGGGCATACATGGTGTCTCCATGAATTAGGAACATAGTTGACATAAACTTCTGTGGTTGATGAGCTCTCCTTGAGATGATAAAGGCTCTGTAGCATCAAATTACTTCCATGTTAACTAAAGCTAGTAATTTTATTATTTTTTTCTTCATTGAAGCAACTTGTGGTGAGAAATTCCTTTGTTACTTAAATGCAACTTTCTGCAAAAGGAATCTGCTTTCTTCATATATCATAATAATAATCACAAGTGTTCAATTCTTGGCTAGCTCAAGTTTGGTCTTAAACCAAAGTCCTGTCTGAAAAATTTATAGTAACTTCTTTATGTGGTATGATTTCTGGATAACGAATTCTTCTCTCAACTTTGCCAGCTGTTCCTGGGAAACAAAGTAAACTGAAATGTAACAAACCAAAATCTCTGCTAGGAAAGAGAATGCTATTTCATTTTATACAAGTAGTAATTTCAAGAGTTCTGTAAATTATGCATCATTTTATTCCCTGCCTTTATTCCCTGCATTTCCTGTATCTGGTAGTAACAGCCTAGTATCAAAACCTTCTTTTCCCATCCACCTCCAGATCTCACTATAAAATGTTAAATGGGAGGAAGTAAACTGAGATATTGGCAATTTGAAATACTTAATTTTAGATGTTTCCTGGTATTTTAATTAGTAATTGTCTTTCAATTTTTTTACAGATGATGCTAATGAAGAAGGGACTGAGATGAGTGAAGAGACGGGTGAGTAAACAGTATTTTATGCTAAAATATATAACTTTTCCAAAGCATCAACCAAACTGAAAGAATTCTTGAAACTATTTGCCTTGGTTGTGATAAGCAGTGCCAATCATTTATTTCCTATGTTATGACAGTCATCCCCGGTTTTAAAATGACATAGGGTAAGCTATCCCTGATGATAAATAGTATGGTGAGAATGGCTGAGACTACCTTTTTAATGTCATCATTTGTTATGAACGGGTGTATTGGGTGACACTGTGTTACTTCTTATTACTAACTAGTTTGAACATGAATGGGAAGTCATTAAAATTCTGCAGTCTTTTTGTCTGTAGAAAGGTGTGAATACAGCAATTCTTGTGTAATTTGCAATTCCATATGGTAGCAAAACTCTCTGGCAAACTCTTAAATATATTGAACTTGACTGGACAATATTTCAGAGGATTTTTTCCTAGTCCTTCTAGTTTGCTGTTTAAAACAAGTGTCAATGCTTAGCATTTGAGGATGTGGATAGACTTGAAATGGAAATGATGAGTAGTGAAATGAAAGGAAAAAAAAAATAATGAAAGAAAGGCCTGAGGAGCAAGAAAAGGAAAGAAGAGAGAGGGAGACTCCTTCTCCCATGAGGACAAAACCTTCCAGTCGGAAGACTTCTGTGAGTTTTTTGTGGGGGGCTTCATCAACTTAATCTTCTTGACCAGGCTTTTTATAGCAGGCTTCTACCAGAGTACCCTGTGTTACTTTCCTTGCTGACCTTCACCTAGAGGTTCTCAGTGGACATCTCCTGGTCCATAAGAGACTTCCATGCAGTGAAAGACTTCCTTTGATACACAGCATAGCTCCCCTTACTCTTCTTCTCTGCCTCTCCTATCTAACCCCAGCCAGTACCCATCTGTGACAGTGTAGTAGGCCTGTGCACAGTCCCCCAGGTCACTGTGACCATCACAGCCCAGAACTTCAGATCTTCTCTTATGAAAGTTTTGGGATCGGGAAGGAGAGCCACATGGAGAAAGGCAGCGATGTACCAGCCAGAAAACACATGAAACCTTTTGAAGTGGTATGTTGTCTGATTAAATCGGCAAGATTGTCCTAAAGACAAATGAATTGTGATGATTTATACAACCAGTTAATTAGTTTAGAAATTAGAAATACTTGAAGAATGTTGCACATGCATAGATGTGAAACACAGATATACACAGATAGATGTGTGTTACACTGATGGATTAGCACATTCTTCTATGGCTGTTCTGGCCCATTGATTTTATTACACATAATTATAATTACTTTTTGGTGTCAAGATTACTGGATAGGAACTTTAAAAAATTTTAATACAATTAATGTGATTGATGTAGTTGTACATGCATACATAAATGTAGAAAAATCAAGACTATCATTATACAACAAATATTTGCCAAAGATTATCGTACAGCTGAATTTGCAGTATTCATCTAACGTTTCAAATTTCATTTTTTATGGTTATCATGACACATATACTTTTAAAAGCCCAATTATTTGCATTTTTTGTCTGCTTGCTTTTATGAAGATTATGCAAATTAAATTGATTTTCTTTTTAAGCATTTAAAATTAGAATTAAAAGGAAGTACACGTCTACTTAATAGTCAGTCTCTACTTTCTTGCCTTGTATCCTTCATAGCTTCATTAATTTAGGTGAAGCTACATATCTGCTCTGGGAAATTTTCACTGAATTAAGTCATTTGAGGAAGATATTTCTCTGCTTGTCTGTTTCTTCGTGCATATGAGATAGATGAGATAATGCCTTTCCTCACAGGTTTCCATCTAGGGTTCTGTGGGCTTCAACAGCATGTACTTGGCTATTTCTTTATCACTTTGAGGTAATTTGGTAATCAGTGTATTGATTGTCAGCAGTCAATACCTACATGGCTGAAGAGAAGTATCTTCTGTATATCTGCTGCAGTAGAGCGGCAGATATACAAAAGTTATGTCATTTTGACCTATGGACTTTTTAATGATTGTAGGATGCATTTGTAGGAATGATAAATACATACATAATTTCTGCATTGGGGGAAGTTTTATTTTTTATGCACAGATTTTTAACATTTTGAAGGATCTCTGCTTGTTACTGTTTTAAGGCAAAAATAGAGTAGCAGCTCTTAGTCACTGCTTCAATATATTAGTTGAATAATCATTCTTCATTCTGTTTGACTTTATGGGTCATGACTCCAGCAGATGGAGTCAGCAGTTGGCACCTATATTGATAACCCTGGTTTTTGAGCTGTACATATCCACTCTGCTTTGAGGTTATTTCTCCAATTCCTGTGTCTAAGAGAGGAAATACTCAAAATTTCACCCAAATTCTTATGCCTCCAGCTTTCTGTTGGCTAGGTGTTTCCAAGGGCCAATACTGAACCGAGAGAAAACACGCAGAAGTATAGGGACACAAATAAGATGCATTGTATCTGTAACAATGTCTGTTTGAAGAACGTAGTAGAATGAGGTGAAGCTTACAGAATCGGTCCTAATTTAAACCTGATGGCAAGAATTAGAAGGGGAAAAAAGCTGATCCTGGTCTAGTGTCAGCTGAAGTCAGTGGGAATATGTCCATTGACTTCAGTGCACACCAGATTAGGTCTTGGGAACAGCTAGAGAATTAGCTGGGAGTAAGGAATAACAGATGACCAAATGTGTGTATTGTTGAGAGATGGATCCATTATGAAAGTAATCTGTCTTGTGTTTCTACCACCTTGAAGTGCAAATATCTCATTACATGCAGAAAAGCCTTTCTTTCTGTGATTTCTCTTCAAAATAAATAAGGGAATATTTCAATTACATCTGCCGGATAATCTCCATTAATATCTATACTAATACTGTAAAATCAACAAGCATGCGTGATCATTTTAGCGAGTTAATCACATAACGTCACTCATATATTGGATGTACTAGAAGAAGAAAAACATTAAAAAAATAACCTAGTTGTATTAGATATACACACTCAGGACCACTCTTTTAATGGCATTTTAGTAATGGAATTTTAGCCCATCAGTTTGTTATTCTGGATGCTGTATCTTGTGGCAGCTGTTGACTTACCAGCACCATTTAATTCTAAGCACTTTGATATTCTCGTGTGTCATACATTTTGCCTCTAGGACAGCTTGGGTCAAAAGGGCAGATATAGTAATAGTGGATGTGGACCTGTGCTGTTCTGCACCTCAACTTTCCTTTACCAGTGATTTCCTACATAAGCAAATAAAGAACCAGATGAGCTAACAGTCTTGTCTACCTTTAACTTCAGTGATTTAACACAGTGGAGTCATGATGCTTAATGTTTTAAGCTCCATTAAGGAAAGATTATTCTAAACTTTAAGTTCTGAAGGACTGCACTTTTTATACCCATAGATTCACATACACATGCACAGAAGCATGCAAAATAAGCCCTAATACTGCCATAATTGTGTGCACAATTGCAGTGATTACATGTGGAAATTATAGAAGCAGGTGCTAGAAAGAGAAGCATGGTCCAGATTCCTACACAATAGTACTGCATTCTTATGCACTGACATAAGTTAATTCTCCTACTATTCAAAGAAAAGGATTTCAGTTCTGAACCTATATTCTCCTTCTAGCTGTTCAGCTTTGCTCTCCACCAGGTGCCAAAACCTTTTGACCTCATCTATACGAATGTTGCCACATTACTGTCTGTGTAATTTCCCATCTAACCATCCAATAATTTTTCATAATAAATGCCCTACTGCTTATCCCGTTTCTATCCTGAGCATTCTAATTAACCACCTGTTAATTACTTCAGAAGCCACAGCCAGCTAGGATGGCAGGATGCAGGATCTTGTTCACACTAGCAAGGGAAGTCGTATTATAAACCATGCTGTAAAAATAAATAATTTTTTGTACATTTGTGCATGCTGGAACACACTTTCTTTGTGAGGGAGACTTTATGTTTTTTTCTGAGATGAAATTAGCAATCACTTGTAACCACAGAGATCTGGAAGTTGTGAGAGATTTTGGGAATAGCTTGCTTGGAGACACACTGTGAGATTTAAGTGGCTTGTTGACCCTCTGAATTAGCCTATAAAGAAGAAAAATTTCTCCCAGTGTTAGAGCTCAGAAACCCTTTTGCACAGATAATCACGATTAGAAAAGCTTTTAATATGATCGGCTCAGACACCTGTCTAGGTGAGCTGTTTTTAAACAGAAATTTGCAGGCAGAATTTCTGTAATATTTGGCTAACTGTTCTGAAAGACATACATGTTGGAGAGCAGACAGGGTTTAGAGTTGTATTTTGATCATAATAATAAGACATTATTTTGGAGCCTGCATAAATCCTTTTCTGTCTCTGGAATGAGGGAAGTCTGCTAAAAAGTAGTGGAAGTGTGATTGAAACCTTTTTCTTCTGAGACAGTGCCTCTAAATCCTTTTGTGAGCATTTTCAGGTTCTTTATAGAGTGTAAAAGATAAATTATTTTGAGATAGTAACAGTTCTGACTTCTCTGAATGTAAACCTCCTCCCTCTCTTTCTTTGTGCTGTCAATTAAGATGTTGGTTGTATTATCTAATGTATTCAGGTACTCCTGAAAGACCTGACTGGACATTTGCACTTGGACTTGATTGACATTTGACTTGAGGGACTGAAGAAAGCCTCACAGATTGGTTAGATGATGAGAGGAGGGGGTGTTGATTGAACCACTCCTATTGATTGGATTCCCTGATGTGAATCATCAACCACAAAAAAAGGAATGTAGCACGTAGTTCGTAGTGGCATTAGAACCAAAGAAGCAATACATCAGTATGGTCCACTGGAAACATTGGTCATTTTTTAAAAGAAAGGGGTAGTGTTGCCAGGAAGCATCTTTAAAAGCATGGTTATTTTCAGGATCTCTCTTTTGTATTGAAGTTCTTGTTGAACACTGCCACCATTGCTCCTAAGTAACCCCTTTAACAGGTTGGCAAATTGTGTCTTTATTTTACCCCACAGTGTTTCCTGTGATAACTCCTACATTCTCACCACGCTAGAAATAAATTCATCTTAACACTTGGAAACTCATTTCCTCAGAATATTTTATTTGAACTTCAGATTCAGATGAGAGTATTTGATGACATGACACATGATGTGTCCTGTGTTAAGCCCTGTCCAGCAAGATCTACACCCTGATACCAAGCCACACTTCAAACCACGGTCTTCTTTGCAGTAATTTGTTTTATTTACTGCTCTCTAAGGACCTTTCATGCTCTGAACAATATGGAATTTTGTAATGATACAGAAATTATTTTCTGGAAGAAATTTTTAAGAACAATATTCAGTTTGGCTTTTTTGGGTAATGTTCATTTCTTAAAATTAAGCAAGTGAGATGGAATTTAATGACTCACTCCTGTGAATTTCTGCCAGCTTCCCAATCTGCGGCTCTTCTTTTTGGACATAAGTACAGTAGAATAAACAGGTTACCAGCAGGGCAGACAGATAATGTTTCTGAGTTTCCACAGCTCCATGCAAAGCCAATGATTAACTCCCTTTTTGTCTCTTGAATGAACAGAGTATCTCCTTTGACCCTGTAAGTTCCCTTTCCACATCTTCACATACTTCTTTCATACCTCCTGTTTGGAAACTTCTGATATTTTGGTTCTAGATATATGTAGTTGGAGGAGGATAGGAAATAAAAGGATAATATCCACAGATATTATATATATATGTGTATATATATATATATATATTGCTGTTTGAAAATCCAGCAACATCCAGAGAAGATGATTGTTGAGGTACGTATGACAGCAGAAGAGATGAGAGTTTTCAGAACGCTTAAGCAGTTTCTAATACACATGTAGATAGCTTTCTTTCCCAGTTGCTAATTAGCTAATCAGTTTGAGGTAATACCATGATTCTTATCTTCCCACAGCATGGCAATAGGGGTAAATTAAGTCAGCTCATATGTCTTCTTGAATTTCTAGCTTACAACTGGTCAAGATTTCTTTCCAGCACACAAAAAAGTGTGTTTTCTTTAGGCTTCTCTTCCACCCAAGCCCTCAGTTGGCCGCAGGGAATCGGGAGGTTTGACAGAAAGTCAAATGATAGAAAGTCATTTTGCCATCATGGTTCAATAGATCCAATAGCTGCAATGAATTGAGTTTTAATTGTCTTCCATTCTCTGCTTTCATGATGAAGCAACAATGTTTGAAGAATGTTTTAATTTGTGATCCTGCTTTCATTAAATGTCTTAATTTGCAATAGTTTTTATTACTGATTTCCAGCTTGGCCTCCCTTTTGTACGAACAGACTCTCTGTGCTACCAGCTTGTGCCTTTGAGGTCTGTCTTAACAAACAGTAATTTCATCCTTTATGTTAATATGACAGGATATCTTGAAAATATAGTGGGAAAAGTTAATCTATTCTAAGGTTTGACCAACTGATATTAAGCACTGTGAACTTCAGTCCCTACAAATAGGGGAGATCTTAGACTTCACTGTCCTAAGTTACTGTTTTTACTAAGAAGGTTTTCCTTTTCCTGTATCTTCCTGTTGCTTTCTGGCTAAAGTTTTGTTCAACCAGAATATTTCTATCTCATAAAGCTTTTATTTCCTTAACTTCACTATCAAACTTGCTTCTCTACCTTTCATTTCATTCCTAATTTCAATCAATATTAATTTGTTACTGTGTCATGACATTGAAAGGCGAATTGCGCTGAGAGGGAAAAATCGTTTTGTTCAGATTATTTCTCCATGGTTCCATAAGACAGTATAATATATATTACATTAAGAACTACAAATTAGAACATTATTTTTTTTTCTATTTCTGCAGAGATTAAGAGCTTGTGAAGAAGTAGGTTCTTTTAGTGTGAGCTTTCTTCACTGCTGTCGTGTGGAAGTTACAGAAAGTCCAGTCCAAGCCGAATGATGCCTGATATGACTTAGAAAAGATGATGTAGCAATTAATTGGAGTTGTGAGATAAAATATGCTCACAGTTCCAGTATGACACATAGTAATACCTGATATAATAAAACTATTTCAAATTTATTTTTTATTTTTAATAGAGCGATTGGAACAAAAAAGCCAGCCTCCATCTCCCACAAAGAGCAAAGCAGAGCAGCCTGAGGACCTGCAAGGTGATGCTGAGGGTAGGTGGTCTGACACCTTTCAGAGTTATTAATTTTTCATTGGGGGGGGAAAGTTTTACTCTGAATTCTTGGGAAAGAACTGGAAAACTTTCTTTTATGAATGTTGTTTGCACATACCCAGAAAGTTCCTTTTGGCCTAGATCATGACATTGTAATTCTTCTGAAGTATATTCCATCTCAAGATAGATTCAGAATGACAAATGCTGTTTTTCTGTGATGGGCTGCTAATTATTGCTGATATAAAATGAGAAATGCACATCTTGCAGGGTTTGGGTTATAGTGTGGTTGGTTAATTTGGTCACGTAAATCAACTACCTGCTGCAAAACACAAAGCAATAAAATGCTTGCTTTCCTTTTCTACAACGAAATTTTCCTGTATCCCTTTCCACTTCAGTTGCAGTGTTTATGGCTCTAGACCTTATGCAGTGTATTACATCATTCCATGGTCAGAAGTCTCAGGTGTTTAACATCAATGCAATAGTGATGTTCCTGTAAGGGTGCTTTCCTGCACTTGAATCTTCTCAGAGCAACTTGCTCATGTGTATGGACATAAATGTGTTCTACATTGTTCTAAGATTGGATCAAAGTATCTTTTCTTAATCTGTATCTCATTGGAAGAGCTGTTAAAAGATGTTAACATCAAAGGCTGATTTTCAGAGTGCAGAGTTTCATGTTGCTTTTATGTGTGTGTTAGAGCAAAATACCCCAATGCTAGAGAATTCCCCTTACATGAAATAGTTAAAAGGATGGACCTTAATCTTTAATCCATGACAGTTCCTTATCATGGATTCTCTTTGACCTTATGTTCATCAAATGACATGGCTTATTCTGCACCTCAACCGGTGGCTCCACGATCTTCATCGTTTTGACCCAGCACTGTGCATTCAGCTCCTAAAATATTCTGACTGGGGTACAGTGTGAGTAATAAAGAGCAGAAAAATGTTAACATCTATCACTTTAAGTAACTGCTAGTAACATCCTGTCACTAACATTGTGACTGGTTGTTAATGGCAAGTACTTAAAGAAATAGCTGTCATCGCCTGGAAGGTGTGGGGGGACCCAAGAAATCTCATCCTGACTGCTCTTCTTTCCTTTCATGCTGTACTAAACCCAGCTGAAATTAAAATACCAATTCTGTGTTCAGATTAGAGAACTCAGTGGTGACACACTGCATGTGGATTTGTAGGCAGGCTAAACAGCTTGTGGGATTGGGGTGTCCTTTTCTATAGTCTTAAATAAGCAAAACAGTAGGATTTATTATATATTTCATATTGGAGTGTGGGTAAAGGCTTTCATTGTATCCGTGTCAAAAAAGAGGGGGAAAAAAAGTGTTGCAAAATTGTAAGGTTTTCCACCCACTGGAAAAATAACTGATGTTGTTCCACTATTTCTGTGGCTTACTAGTTTACTGTGCCTGTCAGTGTTTCCTGGTGACCTACAGTTCACTTCTTGGAGCACAAACAAGTGCATTGGAAGGGTAAAGTAAATAGCATGGCAATAGAATGATTGCATTACCCTCGAGCTGTAAAATGCCTGAACTCCTTGAATTTGGTGCCATGCAGTAGATTTTGCTGATGCAGAATTGAGGCTGATAACACATAATCACTGCTGCAGAATTTAATCCAGCCAGTGACGGAGTCCTCCTCTCCTTAGGCAGGAATCAGGTCTGTAATGTTTTTAGGATTTAAAGTCGAAATTAAGCCTTGATAGTGGTTGTGATGGGAGGGGGAAGGTAATTAAAGTGTTTGCTGAGGGAAGCTGGAGAAGCAACCTGGGTCGTATTTCTGTGGCGTTATCTGAGCCCCTGTTTTGAAGAGGAGTCAAGTCATTAGGCACCAGACACTGAATTCCTATAAAGCTGGCAAGTGAGTAGAGTCTAATGTAACACACCTGTGAGCCATTCCCATCTCAGTAAATGGGATTTGCACACATTCGTCTGAGAGTAGGATTTAGTTTCTACTGTTCTAATTATTAGCTGTTGGTTTTGACTAATTAAAATAACTTTTAATGGGGAGCCTTCAAGATTATGAAAGGTGTGAATATGTGACATGAACCACAACTACATGTCTAAGTAATTTAATTTTTATAGGAGTTAGTCTTCATTTTTATAAATCTGCCTCTTTCTTTTTTTTTTCTTTTTTAAATTTATTTTTTTTATTTATTTCTTCATCTTCTTTTAAAATAACTTCTGAGTAGCTAATGTGCACAAACAGTCTGAAATGAAACACAGGAAAACCAAACTCTGCCTCAGGTCAGCTATGTTGAATTTTCCTCATGGTAAAAATTGAAGTGCTTTGTGCTCAGCATATTTAAACTTTGGGATAGTTCACATGCTTTGGATACTCCAATTTATTTTTTTTTTATTATTTTTTAAAGCAAACAAACGAAAAAACCCAACCCATAACCCCTAACTTTTAGTAACAAAGGCAAGTCCAGAGATGTTGATATTTAACGTAAGATATTATGCTCTTCTTGGTAACGTGACCAGATATAAAATACTTTGCAAATATACACTGAGGCACAGTAGGATCCAGATATTTTTTCCTGCTTAGTTGTCAGTGTCCTTTTAGACTGAAGATGGGAATACAACTTGCTATTTTAACAGCCTCACGCATGCCCTTGTGGCAGTCTGTAAAAACTAGTCCACTGAGTTCAGTAATATTTCTGCTGTAATATTTTTCTCCCACACACCAAGCTGATTCATTGGCTTGAGGTAATGGAGCAGTATCTTTTCAGTACATGTAAAAATTTCCACAGAAGATCATGGAACGCAGGCTTCTTCATTATTACCCTCTCTGCAATCAAGGAAAGTCAAATAAGTGGCTGTATGTAAGGAGCTTGTTTTGCAGTAAGCTAAAATAAATACTTGACATGCTAATGAAAGCAATTTTATACTGAACCTCTAAAGTATTAATGGTGTCTGTTATTATGCTATTAGATATATTGTTCTCTGCCTTCAGACCATTGACAGAGAAAAGCAAGTGTGAACTGCACAGCAGATTCTCCTGTCAATGGTTGTATTCAGTAGTTTTTCATTGTAGTGGGGGTTGTTGTCTGGGAAAATTAATAGATACACAGAGAAGAATTTTTTACTCCCAGGTTCCCTTCATTATTTCAGGTTTGACTCATGCAAACATACAGTGTAATTTTTTTTCTTTTCCTCCTCCCTCACTTTTCTGGGAGACTAAAATCAGCTGGTCATAATTTTGCCTTTCCCCTCAGTCAGGTGCACGTAGTGATTGAGTGATTGTGTGATTGTAAAGTCTCAGGTGAGCAGAAAATGTTTGGCTCTGAACAAAACTTAGCATGTCTTACTTCAGTAGCTTCATAACACAATCCTAAGGGAATTACATAGGCAAAATGGCAGTACTGGTCATGGTGTAGCAGCCATGAGTTAGCACAAATGCTGCAGGTCACCAGTTCTCATCCTTGCTGATTGTCACCAACCCAAAGCAAACCATTTTTCCAAAGTCTAACAAAACAAATCTTTAAAATATTCCTTATTTCTCTTAGCTACCTCCCCAAATATCCTTCTATATGTGCTGAATGACAAGGTGTGTGATACTTGATACTGGGAGAAGCAAAACTGCCCTTTCTCCTTACGGGATTTCTCAGTGAGATATAAAATGGAGCCTGCCCAAGAGCTGCCCCATCCGTTACCATCATGGTCTGCAGGTGATCAATATTGTACCAAAGATGACTAATACATCTAACAGCAGCAGCATAAAGGCCTGATCTTTCTCCTTCTCCAGGAGAAAGATGGTCAATCCATGCAGCAAAAGCCATTTCTGTGCCTCCTGAGGTCAGGATCTTCCTTTCCCTCTCTCAAAGGATGTGAAGGCAGAACTGGAGCTCTGCAAGTTGTCTTGCTCCAGCCCCTCTCGTAAGTTTCCTCCAAAATGAATGACCAGATCCTTCCTGATTGATTGATTGATTGGTCTCACATGATCACCTTAGCTGAGGCCACTGTATGTGCAAGTTGCTGGTTTGTTGGAATTGCTCATTCAGGATGAACCTTTTTCACTTCGTGGGAAGGAAAACATTCTGATGGATAAGTCAAGCCAGGAAGGTCACAATGAACACGATGAGTCACCTTTAAGATAGTTGGTAGAGTTGTTTTCTTTGCCTGATGGGGTCATCACACTACCGACCCTTGAGCTTTCAAGGGCAACATCAAATGTCTGAAATCTTGCTCAGCAGCGTCAAGAGTTGAGGCTCACCAGCAGCCTCCTGCCTTGGCTAGAATCCGTTGTGCTCCTTTCACAAGCAACATCAGTCTCGTGGTTGGAGTACATAGTAGAAATGAGGCAAAATGGCGTCTTATCTTGATTCATTGGTTCAGCA